GAAGAATATAGGGTGGATCAAGATATAGATTTCGGCTTTTGACTACCCGAGTCGGCGCGATAGTCACTCTCGGTTTGTGCACTTCATATAAGGTGGTTGTTGTCCTACGCAAGCCTTCACATGCGCTCCAGCAGGCAAAGCAAGGCAAGGTTTTGCTGTTGTCTTTGGTACACGCAGTTTGGCGATGATGATGCAAGGGGGTTTCTGCTTCCAACCCTTTGCTGGTGCCGTATGAATTCCGCTCCTCACACACGGCCTAACGTATCCACAACGCTTATGCAGCGGCTTGCAGTGTGTGCTGTGCACTGCCTCACAGTCTTGAATTGTGCGTTTGCAATAAGTCGCTGAGAGTAGACCACGGGCTATTGAGCAGGAATGCAGCAACCAACCAACCAGGCCTGCCTTCTCCAGGTAAGCTCTACTGAGCACGCGTGGATTTGTGTGCGTGTGTGTGTGCGTGTGTGTGTGTTGCGTGTTGTGTGTGTGCGTGAGTGGTGCGGTCCTCGTGAAGCCCTGATTCTCTGATTGGTGGTTGCGGTGGATGCGCTTGATGTGTGAACTGATAGCCGTTGGCGGCATGGGTGTTTTCGTGAGAATACCCCAATCAAAAGCCATGCAGCATGAACAGGCGACACGATGCTATGCTTGCTTGCATGCTTGCAAGCATGTTTGTTGACGGGACATGGTGCTGTGGCAATTTAGCCTCACCCTTGCCTCTGCAACTGCGATGCCCGTGGTTGTTTCAGTGTTGCTGTTGTATTGGCGTTTGCACTGCCACACAGAGCGTGTGCAGAGGCTGCCACAGGCTGACATGGCCTCTTGTCAATGGTGCGACCTCGAAGCTCGCCGAAACCACGCAAGTCAGTGTTTTGTGTGTGTGTGTGTGAATGTGCCATCATGCATGTGTTCTCTCTGTGCAAACAGAACGCCAGTAGAGCACGCACGCACGTGCATGCGCTCACACACACACACGCACACACGCATGTGCATGCCCTCACACGCTTGCTTGTTCGATCGTCAGGGCGATGACGGTGATGATGGTGACTCAGTCCACTTCCGAACAGCACCTCCAACCAACTGGCAATCGCTGTCATGCGTTGATGTTGCGCTGACCGGGCCATGGCGTGAATGCTGCATTAATCCCCTCCCCCATCAAGTCGTCACCGCGGTCATCACGCTGGTTGGTGTCTTGTGCACTGCAGACGGCCACCACGCCTTCCTACACAGTGTATGCCAGGTGAGTCGTGCTGTTATTGGTGGCGGATGCTGGCGATGTGGCAATGTTCATGTATTGTAGTGACTGGCTGGTTGATTGATAGTTTGTGTTGTGTCTTCATGGTGTCTTCCTGATGTGTTGATAGCGGGCACTTGAAGCTTTCACCAACACACTAATGTACACACATACGCACACGCCATCAATGCACCTAGGTACCTGCTCACGGCCCTCTCCCCCTTTCACCAACATTCGATTGCCGTACAGCATGCCTTGCCGTCGTGCTGTATGCGTGTGTGCGCGCGTGGACAGCGTCAACCCTCAAATTGCTGCCACCAGCCGCACCTCCACCGCCAGCCACTACTACCTAATGCCACTCCACAGCCTCATCCCAGGATGGAATAGCCGGTTCGTGCGCACCAGGGAGCCAGCACGAGAGCTGAGCATGGAGCCATGGCAGCAGCAGCAGCAGCAGCAGCAGCAGCAGCAGCAGCATGCTAGGGTGGCGTGAGTGTGGCGTGTTTGGCCCATCTGAGGTGGAAGGCTGGAAGGGTGCTCGTGCGATCTTACGATCGTTTCCGCCTCAAACTCAAGATCCACGACAGGACATCAAGAGCACCCATGACATGACCGACGTGAATAGACCACCACCACCACCAGCAGCAACGACGAGGTGAGGACAGCAGCATCATGCCATTGTTCCACCCATATCCACATTCTTCAGAAACGCACACAGCACACACATCCTCCATGCCGCTCTCGTGTGCTCGTGTGTCTGTGGGTTCACGTCATCTGTTTGCGACACACGACGGCAATGAAATTCCTTCATGTAGCGCAATGTCAGCGATTTTGATGTGCTCAAACTCGTTTGCTTGTTTGATTTTGGCATCGAATCGGAAATAGGAATGTGAATAACCCCGGCATACGCTCGCACACGCGAGCACAAACACGCACCCACACGCACCCACCTGCTTACTTACCCACAGCCTCATCCTTTGAGCCACCGTTGCAAGGTTCGAGCACTTGTACACCGTCACACACACACACACACACACACACACACACACACACACACACACACACACACACACACACACACACACACACACACACACACACACACACACACGCATGCAATCAGCACTTGCTTTCTCCCAACCGCTCACACGTGTGTGCACCGGCAATGTGCCAATGTTCACTCACACTCTCTCGCGCGTGTGTTCGTGTGTGTGTTGAAGCAGGAGCGGGCACTGCGGCCACAGCACGAACGTGTGGATGTGTTGGTGACTCAACCGCGACAGCGCCACACGCACCAACAGCAGCAGCAGCAGGAGGAGACGAAGATGGAGTAGAGTTCTCGTGACATGAACCATAACAACCATGACAGCAGCAACGCATGCTCAAGCGCGATTGTGGTGACCGCAGGGACACAGTGGCGTTTACAGCGGTTACAAGGACATGCACACGCGCACATGTGTGTGAGAGCAGAGGTATTTTCACGACAGCAGCAACAGCAACAACAACAGCAGCAGCAGCGCGTGCCTGTGTGGCTGATGGCTATTAGGAAGACGACAGGGGTGGTACCATGAGTGCTTTGGATCACCGCTTTCATGGCTGCAGTGTTGTGACGATGACAGCACACGCGTTGATGGTTTACACATGCGGTGATAGTGATGGTGGTAGTGGTCACTGCCATGGGGGCGGTGGCTTTGGGTTGCGTCATTGGAAGTGCATGACCCACTGCAGCTCCACCTCAACACGAGCGCGGTTCATCACCACCATCGTGCATCTGATGCTGCTGCTGCTGATGGTGGTGGTAATGGCAGAGCGAACATCTGTACCAGCATCGTCCCATCCGGTGTTGCGGTCACTGCGAAGAGATGAGATGGTGACAGTTTGCTGATACTGCGTCATGGGTGTTGCGGTTGGTGATGGTGGTGGTGGCGATGATGGTGACGACCAGGGAAAACCACGTATCATGGGATCGCCCACATGCAGGCGAGAGACGTGAGTATGCACACACGTGTGAATGCATGTGTGAATGTGTGTGTGTGTGTGCGGGCGTGGCTGACACCAGCGTGCGTGTGTGTATGTGTTGTCGCGTCCAGTCACTGCTTTGCTATCAAAGCATTCATTACCGCTACTCCCTTCCCCTGTTGCTCATGCCATTCCATGACAACACCCACCATCATCACCATCATCATCGTCATGCGTGCATGCATGCTGTTTGTTTGTTTGTTTGTTACCTCACCAGAGCGAAGACGAAGATGGCAGCGACGTGCGTGCTTGAAGTGATGCGAGTGCCCACTGCGTAGTGCACTTGCCCAATGGTGGCAGTCATGGCTGCGCTGTATTGAAGGGCTGTCTGGACGCCTTCCACCACCACCACCACCACCACCACCACCATCATCACCATTGTCATGATGGCTTGGTGCTGGTGACGCTGATAACGACGATGATGGGGATGCTGGCGGTGCGACGAACACCTTTCAACTGCAACAGCCGGGAGCAGAGCCGCTGCCTCGTTCTTCGTCGCTGGCGCCTTCACCTTCATCATCATCGTCGTCGACTTCTTGGTGGCCGTCGTGATCTTGTTGGCACTCGTGTCTGATGGGTGATGGAGATGAAGGTGGTGGTGCAAGCTGAATGTGACAGCAGCAGCAACAGCAGCAACAGCAACAGCAGCAGCAGTGTGAGTTGTGGAGGGCGAGACAGGTGGTGAGATGATGAGACCAACAGCCCCGCCCACTACAGCCAAGAGATGCCATAACGCTTGCAATCGTGAACCGCAGGCAGCATTCACACGCGCACGCCACACCAGCACCCAAGCCACGCTGTCCACTGCTCCTTACGTGTGTGGCAGGACTTCTGATTGAGGGTGGCTGAAAAGCCCTGCAAGCGGCACTTGTGCCACGTCCTACATGGTGGCGGTGGGTGGTGTGGATGATTGTTGTGGGCGAGGAGGACAGTGATGTGTTCCTGTTGCTGTTCGCCGCCTTTCCCAATATTTCAACAGGTGAGGTTGACGGTTGACGTGTTGGTGACCAGGAGTGAATTTTGTCCTTTTTCGTCCTTGTGTCCTACACATAACTCGGTTAAAGCAGTGTTTGTGTGTTTGCGTGTGTGTGTGTGTGTGTGTGTGTGTGTGTGTGTGTGTGTGTGTGTGTGTGTGTGTGTGTGTGTGTGTGTGTGTGTGTGTGTGTGTGTGCGGGTATGTGTGTGTGTGTGTGTGTGTGTGCACTGTTGCGTTGTGCCACCTTCCTCTACACCGTCTCACCCCGCATCCCCTGAATGCACGTGTTCTGACACATTGTTGTCCATTGGAAGATGCGGCGAACACGACGACACATGTACAAGCAGCACAAATCACCTGCAACATTCGCCACTGGCTGAATGGAAAGACGCGGAGTGACACAAAGCAGCACAGCGACAGCCACGACAACAATCGCACCGACAGCAGTGGCAGCAGTAGCGAGATGAAGGTCATCAACCTCGGCAGTAAACAAGAGCATCTGCACCCAGAGAAGCAGTGGTGGCACTGCAGCAGAACCACAACACCCACACGAACACACACGCAATTCACGCACACGGCAGCAGCACCAGCAACGGTTGACATCGATGCCGACAACAACAGCGACGACAGTGACGGACAAGCGACATGTGCCATCAAGCAACAGGCACAAGAATGCCGGAAGTGGCATGCGAACACACCCCATCGTGCATGCACACCTCTCGGACCCCTTCATCGCAATCACCAACCACCACAACGGAATGCCATTGACCGCCACCAGCACCATCAGCCAACACGTCACCGCCCCCTCCCTCCTCGCTTCGATTCTCCCTCACACCACCAGCACGTCGCCACCATCGGCGCTGTCGCCGTCGTCGTTGTTCTTGCTGGTGGTGCTTGGTGGCATGTGCTGCAACACATTCATCATCCACATGGCAGCCCGCGCCTTCAGCTCAACCATGCACTGCCGCATGCTTGAGCACCGCACTGCATCGCCGAGCAGTGCGTTCCTCATGTGCACATCTACAAGCGTGTTGGGCCGGTGGTGTTGGTGGTCTGGGACAGCCTCTGTGCCCTGTGACTCTGCCAGCGCGGCTGCGAAGAGCTCAAGCATCGTCGCTGTCTCAGCATGGCCGTCTGAGCACATGAAGTCGGCACGGCCGCCACCAAGGTTGCCAGCGAACACTATCTCGAGCAGGGCGTCTGTTGTGGCTGGTGGTGGTGCCGGCTGCACGTGCTTGCACTGCTGTCCACCATCGTCTTTGTGGCAGAAACGGCCAGCCTGGTGACATCCACGCGCAAGCAGGTGCGATGTGAGTGTGGAGTGCAGCACACGTGCTTTGGGTTTTGTTGTGTTTGCAGTTGTGTGTGTGTTTGTGTGTGTGTGTGTATGTGTGCGGGCGCAGTGTGCGATTGTGTCTGACTTGACCTCGTTGCAACTTTGCTCACACTGACACCACATACCCCTGTGTTTGTGTGTTAGTGTGTGCGTGTGCGTGCATGTGCGTGCATGTGTGTGTCAGGCTGACCTTGGCTTTGGCGGCGCCGTTGCTGCGATCAAGCTGCTGTCCAGCGCTCGCATTCGTCCCCTTGGAACTGCGCCCGTTCTTGTTGAACGTCGTCGTCGTGATGGTGGCGGTGATGGGGCCTGGGGCGACAGCAGCAGGCACGTAACCACGGTTGGCTGTGGGAGCTGGCACGAAAGCTGAGCTGGTGTGGTTGCTGGTGTGGTTAGCAGTGACAGCGGCGGCACGCACATAACTGGAGCTCGTGTTGTGGGTGGCTGTGGTGACAGGAGTGAAGCCTGCACGGACCGCGTGACTGGTGCTGCCGTACAAGTGCCCCTGCACCTGCATTGCCATTGGCATGCACATTGACGCCTGCAACGACGCTGGCATTGGCGTTTGCATGGGCATCGGCATGGAATTGCGCTGGTTGACAGTGCCGGCAGAGAAGTGAGGAGGTGGTCGCATGGGGACAGCCGTGTGGACGCGGCTGGCTTGCATTGGCACATGCATTGGCACGTGCATTGGCATCGGTGCTTGCTTGGGAGCGTGCATGTGCATGGGCGCTTGCATTGGAGCTTGCATTGGCATCCGCATGAGATTGTGCTGGTTAACAGCGGCGGGGCGAGGTGGGCGCATGGGGGCGGTGGTGTGCACGCGGCTGGAGGACGAGCTGTACTCGGCGGCAACAGCATGACGCAGGGCAGCGCGCTTCTTGTTCTGCACGCTCCGGTGCCTGCCCTTCGTCTTCTTCTTCTTCGTCTTCTTGGACTTCTTGTTGGACTTCTTTTTCTGCTTCTTCCTGGATTTCCTGGACTTCTTTCTTGACTGCCTGGACTTCTTCTTGCGCCTGCGACGGCGGGTGTGCTAGCGAGGTGACAGCGCGAATGCAAGGTATGTGAGACACAGATGTGCATGCGATCATGCGATTGGGGTGTGGTTGGATGTAGTTTGTGGTGTGTTCGTGTGGTCCTGGGCGTTCACATTTGTTGAGAATGCGAGACGTGGACTTGATGTTGTTGTCGTTTCTCAGTGTCATCTTTCATCGCACTGTCACTCCACTCGCTCACACTCATGCACGTAAATGCACACACACGCACACGCACACTCATGCGCGTAAATACACACACACACACATACATTGGGCGTAAATACACACACACACACACATACATTGGGCGTGACATGCAGGCTTTGGTTGCGCACCTCATCGTCACTCGAGTCACTGCTGGTGTCACTGCTGGTGTCACTGCTGGTGTCACTGGAATCACTGGAGTCGCTGGAATCCCACCGCCGCTTGTTCCTGGTGCTGCAAGCAGATGGCGATGTGAGCAGGCGGTGATGTGGACACCAGATGGGCATGCACAACAGCGGCCAGTGTGGGAAAGCGCTTTTAGATGCGCAACAGTCGCAACAACAACAACAACAGCTGCTGCACAACGATGACCAAATCCTACATCCACACACAGAAACGCTTACTCGTGGACAGAACAACAGCGCATGCACGGATTGCCGCTTACGTGCTCACGGCAGGCGTTGGCACGTGTGGGGGCGCGTTCATCTGCCCATCCTCGATAGTTGCAGCTGCGGCGTTCATGGTCGCGGTTTTGTCAACGTGAGAGCGTTGAGTGGTGAATGCCAAATCGACAGCCGCATGCGCGCAACGGTGACTGAAAAATTTGTGATGTCGGGAGCCGCTTCAAAGTGCGCCAAACGACGACGACGATGATGGGTGGTGGTGATGACAATGAAAAGAGGAGGTTGAGATGTTGCGGTTACC